CCAGCCTCTCGGGCGGTGCCTGCTGTCCACAGCCCAGGTGACACGGAGCGGGGGGGAAGCGGCGCTGTTGGCCGGCCCCGCGCGTCACTGCTCACAGAGCTGGAGTTCACCTGCAGCCCAGATTTTATCTGGGTATTTTAATTACTTTCAGGAAGTCGGTTGTCCCTTCCAGTACCCCCCTCTCCTATGAAAGAGTGCCCATCCCTTCCAGGGCAGCCCTTTGTTTGCCGGCCGCAGCTGCCCGCTCTGCCCTGCCCTGCCCCTCAGCCCGGCACCAGCTCCATCCTGCGCGTTTCCTGATGCGGGGCAGTCCTGTAGGCAGCAGTTGCACCACTGCACAGGTATGACCATCCCCTGGCTCAGAGCCAAGTTGCCCTTTGCACCCTTTTAATCTGTTCCTCCTCTGTTTCCCCCCCGCCCCCCCAACGCGTTCCCCAAGCGCACGTCATCCTTGGCCAGGCAGGCTGCGCTCAGCCAAGCGAGCTCTCACTCATCAGATACGCCGCTCACCGAACTGCTTTCCCCCTCTGCGCTGATGTCCCCCCCCAGCCCCAGAGCACGGCAAGCCCCACCAGCATGCAGAGGCCTCTCTGCAGGGACTCATTAATCCTCATGAAGGCTCCTTCCCAGACAGCTGGCTCCACTCTGCAGCCTCAACTTTGCATTCCCTATTTGTAAAGCACCACATTTAGGAGACGTTTTTTCCCCAGACAAACAGATCCCATTCTGCTAGTTCCCTCTCCTTTACAGAGGCAAAGGGGACCAAGAGGGGTGTTTTGTCTTCCAGTGGCTTTGAAGCCAAGAAGAGGGTTTTGGTTTTGCTTAGGAGCGCAAACTGACTGAAGCCTGCCCCGATCCCCTCCCCACATCCAGCTGACAATTCACATGCTCCTGCCAGGGCGGTTCCCGTACGGGCGTGCGTACAGGCAAATTTCCTCCTCCAGAGGTTGGCAGGCGGCCCAGAGCAGCCCAACAGCCCAGCTTCACCTCTTCACCTTCAACCATCTGAGTCAAAGGGGTTGCCAGCTTCTCAGCCTCATGTCAGCCATGTGATACATCCACACAGCAACAATCACAAGAACAAATCAAAAAATTAACTGGAGCTCCATCACAGGCTATTAGAGAGAGCGAGAGCACCTCTGAGTGAGATGCTGGAGCCCAGAACAAGCACAGAGGATGCAGTGCTTCTGCCCAGCTGCAGTCAGACAGGACACTGATGACCAGAGCTCTCCTGGCAGGAGGTCAGGCCATCTGCTTGTCAACACATGTGAACTGTAGAAAGCAGTTATGCTTCATCCATGCAGGGAAGCGGCTCCCTGTGCAGGGCAGTTCCCTCTGCAGACAGGAGCAGACAAGGACAGAGCAGGTAATGATGCCTGGGTAGAGGACTCCATACCTGGAGGATCCCTGTAGCCAGGCTCCTCTCTCTAACCCGGCTGTTTTCAGAGGCACTACTGTTGGGTGCCAGGAATCAGGAGGGAGGGGGGGCAGCATCAGTGGAAGCGCTCAGGTAGCCCAGAAGGCCCCACTTCACTGCAGATCAACAGGGATTATACTAGTCCCAGTCCTCAGGGGTCTCACCTGCCTCCCACCCACCCAACCCAGCAGGGACTGCTTGGCTCAGTGGGACGGGACACAGCCCATCACAACCTGTGAGAGGTAAAGGCAGGACATATAAACCCTGGACTCAATACCTGCAGCGCTAACACAGCCCTACAGCTCAGCATCAGCTGCTTCCATATATTGCTCTTTAGTAAAGAAAGCACCAACTGGACCCCTCTGTATGCTGGGGGACCAAAGCCTCTCCAGACCAGCATACCCAATTAAATACAAGTGACAACCAGGATCTTCATAACTGTTTCACTTGCCCTTGCCAGACCCCATGCTTAGGGTTTCCATGAGCATGAGACAGGTTGTACAAGGAGTTCTCAAATCAAGTGCAGGGCATGAGAGGATTTCTTAAGGCATTATTTCCCACACATGCACAGTTGGATACACTTTCCTGTCACCTCCTCCCTCCTCAGCTCTTAGAGGACTTATGGCTCTTGAACTCTCCCAAGCTTGGCCAAGATGAACTGAGCAAACAGGAGCCTTGCAGCCCCACCAAGGGCAAGACTGGGAAAACCGCCTGCATCACCCCCAGGACAGAGCAGCCATCAGCCATGGCACCCGCTGCCTCATACCCAGCCAATCCAATGGACTAGGACAGAACATGAAGAGAAAGCACCCGTAAGAGCGGGGCAACCCCAACTCTACTCTTTGTAGCCCTCCTTCTTCTGGTGCTGCTCTCTGAAGCCTAGTTCACAGTAACAAGAACTCAGCTCACATACCAAGATTCATTCAGCACTGGCCGAGTCATTCACGTACTGTTTCCATCATCTGAAGCAGAGTATCTTTTGGCAACAGACACAAAGACAGACTAGATTAAAAGTTACCTGCAAGTCTTACATCTTTGTCCAGTCCTGGCAAAAGCAAGTCAGATTCTTGCACCTACTGAAGAGCTCTGTGCAATCACAGCACAGCTCAGGAAAAGTATGGTTTCACGGATGGTTTAGTTTAACAAGTCCAGAGTTCAGCTCAAACTGTGTCCCGCAAGACCAGAGGGCCGTAAGTTCAGTAATTCAAATCAAGCATTTTAGGCAAGCCTCAGGAGAGAGGGGAGGATCTGAACATTTTCCCAGCTTACTCCAGCCAGCAGTGTGTTATGAAGACACAGTTCAAGCTCTCTCAGAAAGACCTAACTCATTTCATAGCAAGCAGCTCATCCTCCCACCACCTGACTTTTCCAGGACACTCCTAACATACATCTGGAACCGACTGACTTCTAGTTTCAGACCCAGAGAACCAAGTCCAAGAAACTGGACTCTGTTACTGCACTCCATCAGCCAGCTTAGCAGGGCAAGACTGCCCTAGCCAGGGCAGTGTAACACAGTGAAGACTCTGTTGAATAGTTATCAGCAGCGTCTGCCAAGCTATACTTCACGTGGAAGCAGAATTAAATTCTTTCAGACTTGAGTAGTAATCAAATCAATTTAATACACAGCCAACATATTGCAATTGCATCCGAACCCTACAGTATTGCTATCGGCCTTGGCTGTCAGAAGCCCAGGAGAAGATCTGGAAAGGCACAGAGAGGTAGAAGAGTTGTAGAGTTTCCCCAGATTAGCTCTAAGTGAGAATGTGCAAGCAGGGTCTTCTCATGAAGGCCCAAGATAATCACAAGTTTGTGCTTTTTGAAAGGAACGCTAACGTGCACAGACAAGTACAGGCACTTGGAGTGACAGCTAAGGCCTTGTTCTGACCAACAGGTCAAGTAACCCTTGCTAGCTCTCACCTACACCAGGGGGAGGGAAGAGGGAGAGTCTCACTCAATGTGAGCAGATACTTAGTGAGGAAGGAGCAAGGAAGAAGCACAAGGTTGTTTCTGCCCTTGGCAGGGGACAAGGACAGTTATTTGCATTGTTTTGGACTAAATTAGCACCCCAGGGGTGAGTGAGAAGAAATATTCATGTGTTTAGTTCTCCAATATTGCCCCTGCACAAACAGAGCAAGTCTTCAGAGGGTACTCCAGACACTGCAATGGAAAAAAGAGCAAGGCTCATTTTCTCAGTTTGCTCTTACTACTACAGCAAAGCACTGGAGCAAACTGAGTATCCAGAGCGGGGATAACGGTGTCACTGAGCATTTGGTGCATCTTTTGTGGCAAGGGAAGCAGGAAGTGGCATCACAGTGATTTGCTTTTGGTAGGTGAAATCCAGAGTCCTTGTGGCTCTATGCAGGAGGGCACTGTTCATCTGTGCTGGGCAGACCAGGGGATGTTGTTAATTCTCAAATTTTGCATAAGGGTTCTCTTCCTTAAACAGGCCTAGAAGAGAAGAGAGATTCATTCAGACATCCAGGAGCTTACTAGGCGCTCCATTCCCATCAGCAGCAAGTCTAGTTCTTCCAGCACAAATAACAAAGAATTGTTATCATCTAACCTCCTGTCTTTTAAGGCTGCACGTACTGGTGCCCTTCTGAGAGGCCAAACCTGTTATTTGAGCTGTGAAGAGCTTTGCATGCAGTCAGCTGTATCCAACACATTTTGTTCTCCTTCTCTGCACAGCAGAGATCCATTAGGAAGTTCTGCCTGATGGCCA